AGGATTTTAATGCTGACATATGGTTGGTTTGTTTGTCAGGACTGCTGGAACAAACAATGATGAGCACCAGGAGAAACCAAAGCTACATAATATACCAGTGTAATAGCGTCCTTCATGTATTAAAGTGTGTTTGTTAAGAAAAAATGTAACATGGTATGACTTCAATTATTTAAAAAAAAATAACTTTTACCGTGTCTCACATGAGCTTTATTCTGTAATTTCAATTGTTCATGACTTTGTTATTCAAGTTGTTTCTAATGACTTCATATCATTGTTTTCTGTTTCTGTTTTGGTTAGCGTTTTTTAAAAATACAAATTTATTTAAAAAGTCAAAAGCATTCCACCATGTGGTTTTAATAGATATAACTATTTATTGAGTTCCTGTTTGCCATGTGTCCTAATTTAAAGTATTACACACTACAAAGGGGGTTGGGCCCTCTATCAGTTACAGCACACAGACTTACTCATGTTCTCTAATTCTGTGTTACACAATACGCATATTAACTGTAACTTTCCTAAAATGATAATAGTCAGTTAATTTTTTCAGATGACATTAATTACATTATTAATAATGTTTAGAGAAGAATCAGTTTACATTTCGCTATAGTGGTTGTTTATTACGGTTGTTTATTCTTGGGGGTCCCCAGTAGTAATCCTTATTGGTATGCTGGTAGGATCACTCGCATTTGTTGTTTCCCATTTACAGTATAGGCTACCTTTCTCCAGCTGGATAAATGATTATGTAATTAGTTCTCGTCGACTGACGGTACCACATGGATGCGGCAGAGGAGCAGCGCGAGACCTGCATCAAGCACACTAGCAGGGAGACACAATACTGGAAACAGTTAGGATTTCCCTTCAAAATAAAATATTTTTTACTGTGAAATGAGGAAATAGGGTGAGTGAACAGAACATTGAGGGATAGAAATATCACGTATGATGCATATTATGTTATGCCTGTCACTCGTGTTGTTTCGTGGGCTGACATGTAAACGCTATAATATAACGTTCTCATTCGACCTGATCTTATATTGAAAGGTTGGACAGGAAGTCCGGTTTACTTTTTTAGCCCGACGCTCCGCATCTGTGGCTGCACTAACGGGCTAACGGGCTTTCTCTCCTGGTTACGGTCTTTGCTTAACAGAGAGAAAGCTGGCTACGTGTTGAAGGACGGTTACCGTGAATCTGCTGGTAGATTTATACTGGCACTGCTGCTGCCTGCACGAGCCCTGTCGGTAACGGAGGCGACAGTCAGAGGATGAGAGCGCGAGCACTGCAGTAATGATGCGTTTTATCCTGGACTGCCTGAGGACACCGAGAGCGAGAAACCCGAAGGATGAAGGGTAAAATGACCGTAAACTGCTCCCTTGTATCAAATGTAAAAAAAAGTATTTTCTAGCTACACATGCACGAATCGCATGGTTTCGTCATGGTATGACGGTTTTCAACTTTTAACCAACAAAAACGTAGACTAGGTGGAGGCTACCCGTTTAAATAGACAACATATTTAGGCTTTAAGTGAAATAGTGTAGGCTGCAGCAGCTCAGGGCCTGCCGATTAGTAACCTATGGAATGTGTGTGCCGCCAAATGTGACATCACTACCCTACAGCTGTGGTTACTAGTAACCAACTACACATTACTCAAGTGAATACTATTGTAACGTGCTTGTGTTTACTTGAGTACAACCGTTTTATGCTACTCCACAACAGATCAGAGGGAACTCTTTTACTTTTAAGTCCACTACATTTTACTGAAGTTACTTGCTTTGCAGATCAAATTTTAATCCGAAACATAGAAATTACGCCTGGGTTAAAATACCCAGCAGTATGTAGGCCAAAAGTATTTAAAGTTAACCTCAATTCAGCCAGCTAAAGGTTGCTTAGTCTACTACACATGCATGTATCTGTATCCAAATAATACAAAAGACAGCCCGGTTGATAATAGGGGTGCAACGGATCACAAACCTCACGGTTCGGTTCGGATCATGGTTCTTGAGTCACGGTTCGGATCAGCAAAGAAAACCTATTTGATTAAAAAGGCGCTAAATCAATCACAGAGTCAGGTTTGTGTCCACCTGATGAATTCACCCTCTAATAGCTCTGGTTTGGTCTCCACTAGTGCTGGGCGGTATGACCAAAAATGTGTATCACGGTATTTTATAAGATTCTGCCGGTTTCACGGTATATCACGGTATTTTTTTTCCCCACGTTAACGCATTAATTAATTAACGCCAAAAACTAACACAAGAACCGGCCAGCGAGCGGTGAACAGCTGTTTGTGTGGCGTGTCTTCCGTCACTTCCTGATTCCTTCACTTCCTGTTTCCTTCACCTACATTCCCCTGGGTCCTAAGTCCCTCCAGGCAGCTTCTTATCACCCTCTATGTACCAACGTACATTTATAACAAATACCACACATATTACACGGTAATCAGCGTTGCATATGTGTCTGACCAAAATACCAAAAAAAAGCATCCGAGGACCGTAATCGCATACACTCTTCGTATTCCAACACATGTTTTCGGCTGAGGTGATGGAGTAAATTGCTGGTGTTGCCACCAGAGGCAATAACAGCGGCTCGACAAACTTTACAATATATCATCTTTTGATCTACGTCGGATTTTTTAAAACCAAAAAATCTCCAACCTGCAGACACAGCTCCTCTCTTGGGCACAAATTGTATTGGTGCATCTCTGGTCTCTCTCTGTTCCTCCTGCATCGCTCTTTTCTGTTCTTTAATGTAGCGACGGAGCTTCTTCTAGCTGTTAGCAGACTGTTGTGCTAGCGGGCTAGCTAGCTAGTGAGCTGTACCCAGCTAGCCAGTTCAGCGGTGTAATTTTATAAATGTACAATTATTAGTGTTACAAATTGTTAATGTGTCACAAACTGTTGTGTCGTGGTGTTTTGCTCTGTTAAAGAGCGTTAGTTGTGGGTTATTGTTGTTATAAAGTTATAACCATGACTAGGGGTCCCTCTCAATACACATAAGACGACTAGCTCCGACCGCAGCGCCCTTAGCAGTGAACAATATATTTTGCTGCCTGTTGAAGAGCGACAGCAGTTGTTTCGGCTGTGCACCGTATGACGGTGTGTGAAAAATTCATATCATACGAGAAATTAAAACCGGTATACTGCCCAGCACTACTCTCCACCATCGTGTGACAAAAAGCGGCTCAAGAAGCTCTGCAGAGCTGCTGTCGGTTGATTATTCTCTGCAGCTTTGTCACTAGAAGTGAATACTCTCACATCACACAAAGTCGTTTGATTCAATGGTATAGTTTAACTGGAATTAAATGTATTTTTTTGTCCTTTACAGCATACATATCTACTATGTAAATTCCTTGTCTTTTTGACTGCATTCAAGAGAAAAATCTTGCGTCAAGCAACCTCAGCGTTTTATCACACATTATTCAGGCTATGGCCAATCTGGGCACGCTTAAATAGTATTGTCTTACAACATGGCTGGAAAGTCAGTTGTGGCGGTGGCAGCAGCGGACCTAGCTGTTGAGGTAATAGAATGACTGACCTTCATTGAAAATGAAATGCCTGTGTCAAATAGTCACGCTCATTTCAAATGAAAGCATTTTGAATGAGTTATTGATGAAGTAAGATGGTTCCATTTATTTCTTTTAACAGATCAGAAGAGCATCAATGTATGAATGAGAGAACGCATGAAGGAATCCTCGCTCCCTGGCAGTAACTGGGTTAACATCATCTGGACAGCAGCTCAAATCAGACTGACACAGTGGAAAATGATCACACTGTTAAGCCCACACTCAAAATAAAAAAAAATGCCATGCATTAAAAGCTTTAAAGTTGTGTAATAGTTCATTATAATTCATGTGCACACATTTTAGAGCTTACTTTCAAGTAAGTCATTAGCTAGAAAATTAAGATTCATGGTGTCATTTTTCAAGTACATTCTCTGGTTCCAGCAGCTCAAACACGGCTTTGCTGCTTGAGTTTGCTATATGGCAGTAAATGGAATATCTTATCGGGGGGGGGGTTGAGTATTGATCGGACACAACTAGCAATCTTAATACCTGGGGTCTGCAAAGAATGTAATGGTTATTATTTACAACAGGGCTCCAGAAGAACCGTTCCAAATTTCTCACTTGGTCGCACCAATTTTTTTTTTGTTACAGCATGGTATATTCATCAGTGATAGAAAGTAAATTGATTAACAAGCTTAAGTAAAATTTTGATGCTACTTTTCACTATATTTCAGATTGGAAAATTTAACTTTTTACTGTATATGAAATACAATGCGTTGTTATACAGTATATGAAACCACCCAGCAGTATATCAATTGTAACATTTGCTCTATTGCAGCCAGCTACAAAATTAAAATGCATCTTACATGTTACTGTATTAATAATAATAATTTGATATTATAATATATAATAACTAAAGAGCCCATTTGGCTCCGTAGTAAGTACTGTAACCTTTACTAAAAGTACATTTGCTGAACTAAATAATTAAATACTTTTGCTTCAGTAAGATTGTGTTTTTTACATCATGTTATTAGTATTTTTACTTAAGTAAAACATCTTAGTACATGTACGTGGACTGCCACTTTGAAGCCTCAACATGGCTGTTGCCGTCTTTGTTTTGTCCCGTCGCCATCTTGTTTTTTTTTTACAACCAGACGTGACATGAGAGGGGTGGAGCTAGGTACAACCAAACGAATAGGATATTTTCAAGTGACCAAAATGGTACAATTAACTTTCATGAAGTGAAAACACACTGTGAAAGGGTTAAAGTTCTAAGACAAAAACGCAGACCACTCCGAGAGCAGACAGAATCGTGGTAGCGACCTGTCAATCACTGTCTAGCCCCGCCCTAAAGCGTCCCCTGGTTTATGGTCTGTTTGACTCTAAATGGACCATTTACTAAATGAACATCATGCTGTATTGAAGAAGACTTGAAACTAGATACTGAGACTATAAATGTATGTTTACAATGTTTACTGAGGTAATAAATCAAGAGAGAAGTAGTCATTCTCATAGACTTCTATACAACCAGAGGAGTCGCCCCCTGATGGACACTAGAGAGAATGCAGCTTTAACACATTAAGCATGGCTTCAGAACCAGATGTTGCCGCCTGGTTCTTAGCTCATTGTTTTATTGCCGAGAAAGTAAAAACGCTCTGATAAACTTTACTAAGTTTATCACTTTACTCAGCACCGAACAACAGACCACGTTAGCGACTAAAACTAAAACAGAGAGTGAATACTGGACTTACATTCATTAGATGGAAACAAACAAGAAAGATAAGCCAAAATAAATATGGAAAGGGTTGGATATAGTCCAAAATGGCTGCTGACCAAAAACAACTGACATGCAAGTGGTTCTGCACACACTTTTGATTAAATTAGATTTTATAATTTGTGCTTAACATGTTCACCATATGCACTTGATTGATAATATGTCCAGTGTCATATTATTAGTGATATATGTGCAGCTTTAATTATTCTCTTACTTACCTAGTCTGCTGCACAGCATTGTGTAGTGTCTTACTATTTATATTATATTTTAATAATAATGCAACACACAAATGCATGATTTGATGTTAATGATTGATGCGGTTAAGACGTTTTACAGTTAATTATCTGGAAACATTTTTAAAATGCATTAGGGAATATTTATTGATTGGTTGGTAATGGTGCAGACTGCTGCTGCGTGCTCTCCAGGATTTTTATGAATGGCTCAGTCACTGCTTTCAGTGTGTGTGTGTGTGTTTGGACTGATGCATACTGCAGTGGTGGTGATGGAGTGGGGGAGGAGGAGAGACAGAGGAGAGGAGGTGAGAGATGTGTGAGGAAGGAGGGGGAGAAGCATGAAGGGAGGAGACTAGTGGAGAGGAAATACACCCCCCCTCCCCTTCCCATTCTCACATTGGTGCATTCTGCCCGTGTGCATCAATCACCCCGGACACACACAGGCAGTTCCGCCTCCTCTGCAGTGTAGCGACAGCTAGCGAGGGGCAGCAATGGAGGAGCGTGCAGTGCAGCAGGAAAAAATAGAGGGATCGTGGGAAGGAGGGCACGACGGAGGGAAGGCGGACTGGAAGAGCGACCGCTCCCTCTCCTCCCTCCTTAAACACTCCTGTCTCCTCTGCTGGTCGTCCCCCAGGGACACTGACGTCGTGGAGACAGACGAGCGGGTCCTCGCCAAGGCAGTCGAGATCAGAGTAAGAAGACCGCAGCATCTCGCGCTGGTGTGTGCATGTTTGTGTGCATACGTCCTGGTTGTCATTCATCGACTGTGTTTTTTGTGTTGGTATCACTTTTTTAATTTTGTTAATATAAATGGTGCAGACAGGACATAAATCATATGTATGTCTGTGAATGTGTGGTGTTTTCCGTCACTGCATTTCCCATGATGCTCTCATGTGATGCTGTAAAACTAGTCTCAATGCAACCAAAAACTCTTGTTGGATACATTTCATCTCAATGTAGTGATCCTTTTACCACTGATCATTTCTCAATGAACTACATTTTTTGCTTGGTTATCACCTGGATTTACAGGCTTAAAGCAGGGTCACGATATGTCTAAGCTGTCATACATTGTTCTTACAAAAAGTAGCAAATGTCCCAGCTGTGGGGCAAATAAAGGACTATCTTGTCTTAAATTAGGCTACTCAAAAATGCCATCATTTGGCGTGTCAGTGGTACGATGTTATACACATGTTATATAACAGAGATAGTCACATTGATGGGCTGGCTGGTCTCATCGAGCATTTGTGCTATTATTATTTTGTACATTATCCACGTAATCATGAACGAGGACGTATAAAGACCGTAAAAGCCCACACAGGACTGTAGATGGATGGGTTCCAACAACCAACGATCTTTCACTCAGCAGACCGCTGTTCACCATGTGGAACGACAAGTCGTTGATTTATTTGTCACGTAAGTAATGTGGTCACGACACTTCTGTGGTTATTTTCAACCCAAAAACGACGATCTTTTCCCAAACCGAACTATTTCACACCTTTTCTAAACCAAGGTCAGCAGGCTTGTTTTCTAAATCCAATTAGGTAGTTTCCGGTGAAGACGGAAATTTATTTTGAAAAGCCGTATGCATGTAACGAGCAGAAATCGACACGTGTTGATGGTTTTTTTCAGGAAAACGTATGCTGAGCATGTCCCATCACAAGGTCAGTACTATCAGAACATAATGGGCAAGCATACAACAAAAAAAACTCTGGATTGGGGACAATGGGCCGGTCTAATTTCGGATACCATTATCTTAATGAATAACACTTCAGTACATTTATATCTATGTCTCTATTTGTTAAATTTTGTGTTACAAAGTTAAAGTAGTTTTTAAGCAGTGGCGGGCCGTGCATTTTATACCTGGGCCTTCACTGCTGTCCTTCAGCTGAAACACAGCTACGGGGTTATTATTTGTTTCGTGTCAAAATGAAGCCAACACCTGTAGATAGAGTGCATCTCTTCTCTGCTCTGACTGCAGCTGGGACTGCTGCGCTGCTCGTTCACGACAGTGCAGAACGTACGTGCTTTAACGTCAGAGTTAAAAACACCACAAAAGTCTCCAACAACACCAGAACAAGTCGCTAGATTTGTCACTAGTAGCTTTTGACAAAAAAATTCGCCATGAGGGTTTGGAAAGTCGCCAAGTTGCCAACACTGGCACCGGCTAAATATGTCCCCAGAGCAACATTGGACGTAACAATAGTTCCTATCACATATAAAACCAAACAAAAATCCATCTTCATAAAAACAAGTTGTACAAATAATAATATATAAACAAGCATATTAAAGCTAATGCAGATGTAAAAACAAGAGCAGTTAACTTACCAGAGGTGCTGTTCACTATTTAAAGACAAAGTCCTCCTTTCTTTGTTAAAGAGTTTAATCTCACGGTTGTTCAGTACATCCGTGCATTTTAGTTCCAGTAAGAAGTCCTCCATTCATGGACGCCAGTGAAGACAGTCGAGCCTCCCCAGTTGTATTTCTTGAATACGTTTTCATGCGTTTGAGGGCTGAAAATGTCCGCTAGACAGAGGCAGCAGATATTGGGATTGTCACCGCCCAACATGTCAGGCTAGCCCACTGACCAATCACGTACTTGTAGGCCAGCTAGCAGGCTCTGACACGTCAAAGAATACGCCCAACATGTCAAACTAAAGATCTGATTGGTTGAACACTATGACAATCAACAATATCGTCCCCATTCACTTAAACTGCACATGGATTCTCTTGTGAGTCTGCAGGCCTCTGCCTCTGTTCTTACCTAGAGACACAGAGGTGAGATCTGATTGGATAAAAGCTCTACTTAAAACAAGCTGCACTGGAAGCAGAGCAATTGAGGAAGACAGTAGCTGTGCAATGAGAACATAAGATAATGGGAAAAATATTTTTAGAAATTATAATACATGTAGTGTATTTAAGAAAATGTATTAAATTATAAAATAGCTATAACTTTGTGATTCTGTTTAGGCCAGCAGAGAAGGTTTTGCAGGCCCTGACGACCCACCACTGTGTTTAAGTGTAGCCTGATGTTGCCTTACACATAAAAGAATGATCTCAATCACTTCTACACAGTGAGGCATGCAGCTTATTAATTAAACACTGGTTTCAGATCAATGGTCAGTATCGACTGATACTTAAGGCCCATGTATCGGTGCATCTCTACTTTTTTCATTTTGGTGAATCTGACCCATGTGATTATGCATATCAGCAGTCCCCGTTTGCGCTGTGTAAAGAAAACTAATTTAGGGGATAATGAAGTTGTGACTGTTGGGATCTGACTATATGGCTTCGACATGTGCTGTGGAACAAAGAGAGTCAGGCATTCCCTTTTGCAAGCAAAGGTTTCATCCTGATTGTAGTTTGAGCACCAAACCCCCAACTCTGAAGAAATTCACATTAGGGTGCGAGTTTCCTCCCCCCAAATGCAACACTGCTCTCATTGGACGAGAGCAGGGATGCCGAGGCGGGACCTCCGGTAAGACGACCCTGCTCCCCCAAAAAACTATGCTTCCCTGAAGTTACCTGAAAGCAGCGCTGCAATCTAATTGGCCAAGGGCCAAGACACGCCAGGACCCCTGTGGTTCAGCCACCGTTCTACAAAACTACCTGCAACCCCCACCTCAATGATTTTTTCCATCGATCCCTCTGGGGGTAGCAGGAGGCACACATGCAACGTTGTTCTTTTTAATCAAAACCTAGGTTTAACAGTTTTATATTTGCTGGCCGAATTCACCAAAATGTCTATTTTATCTTTGTTTGTATCCACAAAGCGAACCCCTTTTTAGTCCTGCAGAAGTGAAGAAGCAAGACTTCTTCAGAAAGAGAGAGAGAGAACTTCCACTCTCCACCAAGCACCTCGTTTGCTCTGGCCATAAGGACGTGAAAATCCCTTATCCAGACGACAGCGATTCTCTCCTACCGAAAGAACTCCTCCCGCGGCCCGCAGCCGCGCTGCCTGAGCCCATGGAGGCTCAGAAGAATCCCCCCCTCAACCAACACGATCGCATTACATTACAGTCATTTAGCAGACGCTTTTATCCAAAGCGACTTACAATTCAGAGTCTATCACATTTCTACACCGTAGGCACAACTACGGGAGCAATCGCATCGTACCGTAAGGCGAAATAGATTCTGGGCAGAGTTAGAGAGAGTTTAATTTGTGTTTATTTTATCTTGTTTGTGTGCTTAAAGTACTGTTCATTTTTATAACGTGGTGTATGCTTTATGATCACCGACACTGGCAATCGCTGAAATTGTTAGTGTTGTGTAGAAGTTACCGTGTATTCCATGCTACTGTGATTCGTGTCGAGACAGCCGCAGTGAGGTCGGGGACTGCGTCTCAGGTCAGAGGTTGGGACCACGTCTGTGACAAAGAGCCCGGTTCTTGCTCCTCTGGCTGAGAGAACAGTTTACCGAACTCCGGCGCAGCGCGGAGGATCTTAATCTTTTGTTTTATTTCATTTTGTTTTGTTCCTTTCCCTTCTCTTTTACTAATCCACACACACACACACACACACACACACACACACACACACACACA